TTGTTAGAAATCTAGCTTAATCATACAGTTTAAAGCAAATCTGATTGATGATACCCTAATACATTCCTAATCCAAAAGTTCAAGCGAGCTGCCGCTGTACTCATCCACGACTGGAGGCCATGGCAAAGTCAAGAGAGTAGCAATTAAGACCACCCCTGTCCCAGCTGCAGCCTTTATCTCACACCCCTGTACCTGCAGCTTCCAGGGGAGGTTGCTTTAGAGCATCTTCTGTTGTTGTCATCTCCCCTGTTAGGACACCCTGTGCTGCTTGCGGTGACTCCTCTGTAAGAGATGATAACTCAGCTAATCCCAGTCCCCCAGTGCCAAACCCCAGCCCTTGGCATTCATTTATAAAGCTTCACAAAGGCAGTTGTCTGGTGTCAGTTTCTTATGTAACCCTATGGAAGAAGGTGTGTTCTAAGCTTGCAGCCCCTTGATCCTCTCCAGCAATAGATTGGGGGGGGGGCAGTTAGGCTACACTGCTGACCTACAAAGGGTGGCTTTGGAAAGCCTACCCAGGAGCTGGCATCTGACCACTGGGACACAAGCTGCGTGTGCGTGAGGCCCTCATCAAGCGGTGGTCATAATCAGCTTGTCTCAGGAAAACTGTCTAGAAAGTCTGCTGAACTCACTCACTGCTGATCTTGCTTTTAGCAGCCTAGTACATGACACCACCACCAGGGCTCCTTGGATGAGCTATTTAGAGACCAAGAAGCCTGCCTGGGCAGCAGACTGGGCCTCGTTCTCCGAGCTGGTTTTCTTCGTGAACCAAAGGAGTTGGAAATTTTTTATGTGAAAATGAGACAGTTGAGATAATGGCCATTGTCTACATTTTAGAGAGTTCAGATGAGCAGCCATTTTGCTCCCCCATCTCTCAGTGACGGGGTTTCCTTCTAGTGTCAGGTCTCTAACATCACATACCCATTCAGAGTGTCATTGAGTGGTTATCCTAGAATAGCAGCGAAAGAAGTGCAACTGACATCCACGTGGAACTCCAGAACTCCATCAGCCCCCAGAGTCCACACCCACTAGCCCTAACTGCCCACTTGTGCCTTGCGCAGTTCCTCTGAGTGGGCCTCTTCGGGATGCTTCCTGCGGGTGGAATGGGACCATCAGGCTTGCGCCTGGCGCCCTCCAGGTTGGAGAGCACACCTGTGCATGGGCTGCATTGCTGGTGTCCCTCAGTCTGTGGATGGACACTAGTGAACACCAGGAGCAGTGAGGGGCTTGCAGGGACAAGTCTGAGCAGAACACACCCTGCTTTGCGGGCAACACCTGGTGGAGGGGTTGCTCCCCAAGGGGGCAATCCAGGTTTGACCCTTTGGGTTTCTGTGAGAAGTGACAGAATGGCAGGGAAGGTGCCAGACCACTGCTCGGAGGGAAGACTATCATGGATTCATCCGGCCAGTGCCCTGCTGCAAAGCGGCTCTCTTAACTCGACACCCTACCCTTGACCAGCTCGCTGGAACCACAAGAAGGGCTCAGTTCCCTTCAGCCATTGGCAGGTTCCAGACTGATCAACGGGGTCCTGTCAGACCCTTGGTCCCTGGCTTCTTCCCGCCAGACTGGCTTCCATCAGCCATATGACCCTGAGTCTGTGCCGATTTTGCCTCCTTGGGGTCTGAAAAGGGGGTAAGGGGGATAGAGGGTGCCGTCTGGCGCTCGGTGTACTGGGCGGAATTCGATCATCTAGCGGCTTGTTCTCATCCAGCTCCTGGTCCGTCCCTCCGCCCCCTCCGCCCCCCGCCCCCTCCACCGCCCATTCCGCCTGCCTCGTAGCTCCTCCCCATCGACCTGACTCTGCCCACTGGCTGCCATATCGCTCCGCCCCTTTACTATCCCCGCCCCCACGCCTATACCCACCATTGGCCTCTCCCGCGCGCCGTCGCGCGCCCACCCGCCTGGTCCGCTGCCCCGGCCAATCCCGCTCCTCCGGTGTCTTCAGGGACGTCATTGGTTTTTGTCCCGTCACTCACTCGGTCACGTCCAATCAACGCTGCCCGTGCCAAGGGAGACGCCTGGCCGGGCGAGGAGGGCAGGAAGGCGGGACGGGGTGGAGCGGGGCTGGTCAGTCGGGTAGCTGGTGGTCGTTCCTGCCCCCGCCTCCAGAAGTAGTCCCTGTGCCTGGACTCTTGGGGGCCAGCTGACTCCTCTCCAGTCGACAGGGACTCCCTAGAGCTCTCCACCTTTGGCCACCTGACCTGATAGGTCCCCACCGGCCCAGTGCCCCGAGAATCCTGAAACTTGTGGCGAGAAAGAAACGGGAGCGGGGAGTGGGGCGGCTTGGGGTCCCCAAAAGAAAAGGCGGCATGAGCTTTGGGGCTGAGGCTGGCAGGGCCAGAACGGGTGGAGGAGAGGGTGAGAGGAGATACCACCTAGAGAAAGGTGCCGCCAGGGCCTCCGTGTGGTGGTGGTCGGTGATCCAGCCAGCTACCTAGAAAGGACCAGCCTTCAAGTAATTTTTTCATCCTTAGAGACACAACCTGAGAACAGAAAGAACTGCCCCAAATGTCAGTAACCATAGCACTAGTAATAGTCTTAATATTGCTATCCTAATAGTGCAGTAAGGAACCCTGGTACGTGGAGAGTTCCCCATTGGGCTGTTTAACCACAACGTCAGCAGTTGGAAACTCCCAGCAGCTCCAAAGGCGAAAGATGAGACTTTCTCTAGTAAAGATTCACAGCCCCAGAAAAACCACAGAGGCAGCTTGCTAGGAGTCACAGTCTACCTGATAGTGATGCGTTCCGTTTTAGTTTGGATTTTTGAATACACAGAGGGTTGTTGGCTGAGCTACCAACCACAAGGTCAGGGGTTCTAACCCACTAGTTCGGCCCACAGGAGAAAGATGAGGCTGTTTACTCGCATAAAGATTTAAATTCTATCACTCCTGGCATTAATCCCCATACTTAGGGTCAACAGAGTCCAACTGAATGAGAGATTAAACTGTAGGACAAAAACTCATGGGTTCCGGCTCAAGGGGGAGCTGTACCAGTATCTGGCTGGAGTGCAAGGTCATTGGGAAAATTGATGATAATAGTGCAATCAACTTAAGAGGGGTTACCCCCTAAAAAAGAAAAAAAAAAACAGAAAAATGTTCCACTGGGCAAAGCTTTCCTAGTACGTATTTTCCCTGCTAGGTGAGTGTGGTAGTTACATAATCTGTTGTCAGTTTGAGACTGAAGAGTGAAGGGGTGGAGTTTAGTGTGTCAATCAGGTCGCAGCTTGATGGCCTCATTTGGAGATGCTAAGGAGATAAATAGCTTGTTGGAGGCAGGACACATGTTCACTGCCTGGGAGATATTACTGAGAGGAGCCTGATGGAGCTACACAGCCCTGGAGCTGGAGGAGCCACATGGAGACCCACACCAGTGCTGAGATGCTTCCACCACCACTGGATCCACAAGACTTTCCACCCACTGGCCTGTGATTGTCCTGCATTCTGCGTCATTGCATGTGTTTTGTGAGTCTGAAGAGGAATTTATAGATTGGTATTGGACATGGGTTAATATGGGACTTATGGACTTGATCTGGACTAGGCTGGGATGTTTTCTGAATATTCAATTGCTCTTGTATAGAAAGGTCTTTCTTATACACACATGAGTCTCCCCGGTTTTGTTTCTCTAGTCAACCCTGACTAACACAGCGAACATTGAGCAAATTGCTCTGAGTTAGTGCACCCAGTGCCATTGCCTGGGAGGGTTCCCTCTGGTCATAGTGAATTTTTTCGTAAAAGCAGTTTCACTCAAACCTCGTTTTTTGTGATGGCTGATTTAAGAGAATAGTGTGTGGCTGTGAAATTTGTTTCCTGCTCGGGGAAAAAATACTTCAGAAACTGTTGTGATGTTGAACACAACTTACAAGGACAGTACTGTGGGAAAAACTCAAGTGCATGTGTGTTTTTCTCATTTCAAGAAGGTGAAATGTCGCTTGATGACAAACCTCATTCTGGACATCCACCAACGTCCCGAAAGGACAAAAATGTCGATTCGTAGTGCATTTGGAGTTCATTTCACCAGGTCAGACTGGCAATCAAGCTTTCTATTTAGAGGTTCTGAAAAGATTGCATAACAGTGTGTGACCAAAAGGCCTCATTTGTGGCAGAAGGGGGATTGGTCTTGTTACCATGACAATGCACCTGCTTCACGCATCCACCTCAGTTTGCCAGTTTTTGGGCAAAAAGCAGCATGCCTCTCTTGCCCTATGCACCTGACTCATCTGACCTCGCTCCATGCATTTCTTTTTTGTTTCAGAGAATGCAGAGGGACATGAAAGGACAGCGATTTGACGATGTAGACGGGGTGAAGAAAACAACGAGGGAGATGCTGTCAGCCATGCAAACGGATGAGTTTGAAACATGTTTCCAAGAATGGAATCGCAGATGTGACAAATGTATTAAATGTAATGGTGAGTACTTTGAAGGAGATAAGGTTATTTTGTTTAAAAAATTACATACATAGCATGCTGTTGAGTGAAATATTATGAGACCACAGTTAAAAGACAAAATACCAAGATAAAGACTTTCATACCAAAGGGAATAGACTTTGAAGTTTGCCAAATGGGGGCTTGATTAGAAGTTTAAACAGTTGAATATAAAGTTGACGATCAGAAATGTAAACCCCTACCTACTGTACAATTTTAAATTAAAAAAAATAAGTGGGAACGTGTACATTTTTACTGTGATTTTCCTCTTCCACACCAGTATGAAAACATACAGTTCCTTTTTCCTCTGACTTCATAGTACCTGACAGGAGACATGGCTGAAATTGACAAGTCCCCAATTTGAGACGATCACTATTAATGCTATAATGAACAGCCTTGAACATGGGCTCTCCTTATAGGATAATGATTTCTAAGTGGAATCGTGACTTAAAATTCATGTGTATTTGG